CGCAAGGGCCTGAGTTCAATCCCCAGTTCGGGGAAAAAAAAAATCAGCATGAATTTATATTTTCAGTAAAATTAATATAAATAAATAAAAATAAAAAATCATTATTGAATACCTCTCATTCTAAATTGTACCATTCCTAATGTCTTATCAATTGTTACACTCTCTAAAATAAAAAGTAAAAAGGACAAGAAAAAATTAAGGTTTGTTGAAAGGCGTTAATGTTTAATTATTTGACCAACCTTGCATACCTATATCTGGTAATCTGAGCAACAGATTTGATGATAACAGTATGTAATACAACAACCGTTGTTAATTTTCTATTATTGTTTTGAAATTCTGCATCATGTGTATTGTATGTTGCTTTGTTTTTGTTATTTGTTTTTGCTCTTTAAAATTAAAAGGGCTAGCAGATAGCTCAACTGGTCTAAGCACCTTCCTGGCAAGTGCAGAGACCCAAGTTCAATCCCTGGTACCACATATTGTGCCATCCCCGGAACTGCGGGCCCCAAAATCAGGCGTGGTTGCACATACTTGTAATCCCAGCACTGGGGAGGCTGAAACAGGAGGATCACTACAAGTGTGAACTGCATAGCAAGACCCTGTATCAAATAAATAAATAAATTATTTATTTTTAAAAATTTAAATTAAATATAGAGCATGGTGGTACATATGTATAATCCCAGCACTTGGAACTCTAGGCAGGAGGATCACTGTGAAATTGATCTAGCCTGAACTACATAGCAAGACTCTGTCTCAAAAAAAAAAAAAAAAGAAAAGAAAAATCACTTAAAATATGTATATGACATGTAAAGGATTTATTAAATAGGCTTACCATAGCTGCCTGCTTAATCAGGTGGAAGAATGCAAAGTGGCCATCAGCACACTGAAGAGCTTGAGGATCCAATCGAAAGTCCAAGGCTTAGAACTCATTTCACAGATTGGTTGGAAAGCTGAAGGTTCAGTGTAGAAAGACTGAAGAGTACACTGGAAGCTAGGAGGAAGAGGAGACAAATGCCCAAAGGCAGTGGTGAAGAGGAGCCATTCCCTGGAAGAAGTAAAAGGGAAGACCTCTTTCTATTTAGGCTGCAATCCTATTGTGCCACCCACTTCTAGGGTGGCTTCCTCCTCAATTTTGGGCCTACCCTTCAGTCATCCAGACAAACACAGAACCGTGGCCCTTCGCACTTGACATGTTCAAAGTGATGAAAAAACTGCCACCAAGAATCTTATCCGGGAAAATTGTCAGAACTGATGAGAACCTGCAACCTGCAGTACAGAGTTACAGGATAAATCCTGAGGGTACTTGACTGACCTCATCAGATACAAAAGTTACATTTCTTGTTACATAGGTTTTGCTTTATCTTGGTCTTAACCATCCAGCAGAAAAGTATAAAAACAAGGTATATAAAGTAAAGCCATATTAATATGCTGAGCTGTGAAAGTCTCCAGTCAACAACTTCTGTGGATAACCCACTACTATTGTGGACTGCTGGACTGTGTTGGATTGTTTTGCTGAATTCACCCACCTATAGTATTTAGTATATGTGCTGCCAAAGCAAGCACAACCTATAGTATTTAGATGCCAATGGAATACCCATCTCTGACAGGACTAAACAAAAAAGGGGATACAATGGAGGGACCATTTTCTATCTGTATAAGCAGAATAGTTAGGATGGATATACAGCTACTTTCGCTTAATTCAATGAGAAGAAAGGTTTGTACTAATAGTGTTTGGACAGGATATCCTATCTGCATCTTGTACTATGGATAACCACTAAGAAGATAACAATGTACAAGGTATTAATTATTGAAACTGTCCTATTAATCAGTTTGGAAACTATCTTATTGCTATTTGTTTCTCAATAAAATAAAAAGAAAATTGTCAGAGGTGAAACATAAAAACAGAAAATTCATTGCTAGGAGGCACATTTGCTGTAAATAAAACTAAAAGTTCTGTGGACTGAGAAAAATCTCTTGGAAATTCAAATGCATGTGAAAAAAACAAGGAACACTATAAATGCATATTTCTTTTTCCTCCTAATCCATTTTAAAAGCAACTGTATAAAATAGTATATATGTTCGGCCTATAATATATTTGACAGTGCAAATGAGATAGATGCAATCAAAGTCATATTGGAATAAGACAGTTATACCAAATGGTTACTCAAACCCACAGGAGCAAATGGGGAAAAACAAGTGATAAAAAAGATCAGTATAACAAACTGTGTATCCTTGCTCTCTTTCTTCATTTTCTTTAGTAGACATGTTATATAAAATTATACCAGTGTAGTGTTCGGTTTGTAATATTGGATGGATAAATAGATCAGAAATAGCACAAAAAGAGGAGTTATATAGGAGTATAGCTTCTGCACTGATTTAAGTCTGAAATCCATTCTGATAACATGATCATTGTCTCAAAGCAACCATTGAGGAAGTAGCCAAAAAAATGAAAAATATCATTAAAAGGATAAAAACATGTTACTGTGTAGCAAATTTTGACAATGCAAAAGGAAGCAGTAAGAGATTAGATTGACAGAAAAAGGCAAACTATAGAAAACTAAAAATGGTAGACATAAATCCAACAAATCAGTAATAATACTGAATGTGAATGGTTTAAATAGAAGAAGTATTTTTCAGACTCAAAAATAAAAGGGGGAGGCCAGGAACGTAGCTCGGTAGAATAAGTGTTTGCCTGGCAAGCACTATGGCTTGAGTTCAATCCCTAGTTCCGGAAAAAAAAAGCAAAAACAACTGGTATCACTTACAATGGAGTAGACAAGAACAACAAAGGGCAGCTTACTAGGAGCCTTCTGGCACAAATGGAGGAAGAAAGAAGGAAGCCTGTAGCCAAGATGAAGAAGATGGAGATGGGAGCAGGTGTTTGAACTGAAGGTCAAAGAAAAAGTTCAAGAACTGAAGAATCCTGAAGCCAAGCAGCAGTGATGCCGTGAGCAAATGGAAAAAAAAAAAAGAAACAGCATAAAGAATTAGAGGGAAAACGTGGTGAGTGTGACGAAGAGAAAGCAAATTGGGAAGCTCAGCAATGTATTTTAGAGCAACAGAACTTTTTTTGTTTTTTTTTTTTTGTTTTTTTGGCAGAACCAGGGATTGAACTCACACTCTTGCGCTTGCCAGGGAAGTGCTTATTCCACTGAGCTGTCTCCCCAGCCCCACAGACCATCAGAACTCTTTGAGAATCTTGGAAAAGAACAAGAAGAAAGGAAAGATCGTTTAAACTCTCTGTTGACTACCAGTTACATATTAGTTGCCAATATGCCAGCTTGGACATCAGTGTTTGTTGGGTCCATTTTACCAGTTTGCACCAGTTTTGTTTTATTTTATTTTTTTGCACCAGTTTTAAATCCATAGTGATGGATTTAACAGCATGACAACAATTTGTTGTTGTTGTTATTGGTGGAATTAAGATGCCTTGAATTGTCTAGGGTGTTATGTTCTTAGAAAATAATAGTTCTACATACCTTTCTACATTTTATTTTTATTATTGTTATTAAATAGTTGTCTTCAGTTTAATGAAAGATAACATTTTACTGTTGTACTATCATGTTCCATGGGTTTGGTTTACAGAATATTCCAAAATAAAAGGAGTCTGAAAGGTTTTCATTGAGGATAAATTGCCATAATATGATAGAAGCTATGTTTTTCTATGTTAATTATAATACAGAGGTTTCATTCATTGCAGCCTGTACAATAATGTAAGTTAATGTAACATAATTGACCCTATTATTTGACACGTTCATTGTTTAATAGTATACATAAAGCTGGGGATATATCTCAGTGACTTTTCACACTTGCCTGGCAAAACTATGTTTACAGCGCACCTAGAGCTCTTTTGGAACAACCTTTGTTCATTTGCTTTGGATTCTTTTAAGTATATTTTATTCCCATTTAGTGTGCTTTTTAGCTAGAATCTCACTACTGCTTCATTTTTGTAATAAAATTTAATTTAGATATTTCCCATATATTAGTCCTACTAAAATAGAATATAAAACATCTTCTATATGGTACAAACCAACAAGGAAACTTTCCTTTAACTCCCTTTTTAATACTTTATGGTAAGTAGCAGGGAGGAAATACATTTAGAGATCATTTCTAGGCAAATTTTGAAGGATCAACCTTTTTCTACCTATACACAGTCTCTTTATTTTACTAGAAATAGACATCATGGCCTCCCAAGGAGAAAAAGTTACCATTCTGTATTTAGCTATATCCATATATTGCATTTCTGTATTTTTATTTATATTATTTTAAAAATTCACATAATAAACAATGTTGTGATGTTTTAAAAAAAAAAAAACAAACAAAAACTCAGCTGGATACAGTGGCACACACATGTCATCCCAGCTACTTGGGAGGCTAAGGCAAAAGAATTATAAGTTTGAGGCCAGTCTGGACAATTTAGCAAAATCCTGTCTCAATACAATTAAAAATAAAATCCAACTACATCTTTCATCAGAAGAGACTTTAGAATCAAAGATATAATGAGTCTGAAAGGTAAAGGATGGAAAGAGTATGTTAACAGTAGCCATGAGAAAGATTCTGGGTCATTCCCAAGGTGTGCTTGTCTCAAATCTACCATAGTACAATCTAAGCCATTGCCAGACATTCATAGAGCTGATTCTCCAGATACTTTCAGAGTCAAGAGTACTTCGGTAATGTCATCCCTGACTACAATTTTAAGATCGCCCATCTAATCCACAGCCTAACAAAAGTCAGAAGTTCTATTCTTTGACCAAGGTGAAGCAGCTTGCCCATTAGAGCATATTCCAGTGACTAATGCTATGCTCCATCCTTGTCTGAAAAGGCCTCGCTTGCCAAATGAAGGGAAGATAGGGAAAGAAGCACTGACTACATTCTACCCTGAACTCTGATTCTGGAGTTACAGGGAGTAGAGGTGGAAGACCAGTGTGACTAGTGAATTTGGGAGTATGAAAATGAGTAGCTGCAATTTTCATTCCCAGCTCTTTTCATTTTTATTAAAGATTTCATTCACACCTGTGAAAAGCTCTGCCATGAAGGAGACTGTGGACCATGCTCTCGAACATCAGTTATTTCCTGCAGATGTTCTTTCAGAACAAAGGTAAATCCTAAACAAAGCTAGAATTGCTTCCATCCATGCCTTTTAAAGTGGTAATTATGGGAAGGGAGGAAACAAAATAATCTTAATTTTATTCCTATCATACTGTATGTGATTCATTGAATCCACCCAATATATACTGACCCAAAATCTACTATAAGCTAGGATAAATATGGGGATTTCAGAACTCAAGTCTCAGAAATCAATAGTGGGGTTAAGGCAGGTGTACAAATAGCTCTATTAAGCATAAATATAGAAAAAGCAACAATAACCCCTGTTGCAAGGAGCTTGCCAACTAGCAAGTTAAAAAAAGACGTAGTCCACAAGACTGGTTTCACTTGTAAGACCCACTGCAAGAGATTAGACAACTGCTAAATTAGAATAGTCCACACAACTGCCCGTTTTGATACCAGCTTCTGATACCAGCTGCAGAGTCATTGGTCCTAAAGCCACTCACCATCAGGGCTTAGTAATTTAGTAGAACAACTCACTGAAAGCTGCTATATTCATGGCTACAGCTTTATAATGAGGAAAAGATACAAATTAAAATCAGCCAAGGGAAAAAGCAGTGTAACGCAGAGTCTGGAAAAGTACCAAACATAAAACTTCAGTTTTCTTCTCCTGGAATCAGAGAGCATTACTTTCTCAGTGCCAGTCTGTGACAGTATGCTTAGAATATGCCAACCAGGGAATTTCAGCCCAAGTCTGTTTTGTTTATTGAGTCTCTGGTTTATGACTGATCTGTGTTCGTTTCTCTAGAGGTCTACTGATAGTCTATGGGACTTGAAGCCCTCACTCTAAGATTATCCAATGTGGCCACCCTGATCTGAAATTGTATTAAAGTATCCAGTGACCCAAGACTGTAAACAAATAACCATACTCCAGCAGGCACACTTTCCACTAGGCTTAAGGATTACCTTTCGGAAGCCAAGTACAAACTGTTTGGTCAGTGTCTGCTTTGTGCCCTGGTAGTTCTAATTGAATTTCATGTTATAAAAGACGTCTTACTATTTTGGAGTTGGGCCATGTATCCAGTTCTGAGTGTATAACTAGAAGAGGCAGGAAGCCTTCCTGTGGAAGTCTTTGGGTGGAATATACTAAGTGATGAGTTGTCCTGCTCTTGACCTACATCTGATCATTGCAGTGCATAGCTGAGGGTAGAGACAGAATTCAAAACAATTAGTTCTATTTGTTAAAAACAAAAAACAAAAAAAAAAAAAAAACAGTGAAAGCCTGGCCAACAGCAGACTTGCAAATGATTCTGAAAGTATAGTCTATATATTGAAAGCTAATTTAGTAATCATCAATTCAGTGATTGCCCAGAGCTGCTCTCTGAGACTTCTGAGCAAGGGTTGCGTGCAAGGTTGAAACCTGAAGAGTGGAGATAGCTGCTCTCCAGCAGTCCCGTTCTCTGTTTCCTGCTTCTTACTCACTGGTTTCTCATACCCTCCGATAGTGGACCTCATGGAAGTGTTTCCTTGAAATAGCGATTTCAAGGAAGCTATTGCAGTTTTTGCAAATATAGCTTTTCTTTATGCTGAAAGTACTTAGTATAAATGCAAATTCTGTTAAACCTTTTTTGGCAAGCTGATAATCATTATCGGGTGTGATGGTACATGCCTGTAATCCCAGCTCTTGGGAGGCTGAAGCAGGAGGATTGCTGCAAGTTCAAGGCCTGCCTGGACTACATAGAGACTCATTCTCAAAAAACAAAAAGGTGATAAATAATCATTACCTCACTGTTCATCCAAATTTTACATGAACATAGACTTTTTTCATGAAATGTTTTTTTTTTAAATTCTATTTATTTATTTGTGTGTGTGTGTGTGTGTGTGTGTGTGTGTGTGTGTGTGTGTGGCCAGCTCAGCCCACCAGGGGGCGGGGCTGGCTGGCATGTGGTGCTGGGGGATCGAACCGCGGTCCCTGTGCTTTGTCAAGCTTGTTTCAAGTAGGTGCTTTAGACCACTGAGCCATCTCGCCAGCCCATGAAATGCTTTTTGAAATGTAGTTTTCACTGAAGTGAGTTTTCTGATAACTAAAACTTCTTAAAGTTTCAAAGATTATTCTTAACACTTGGGCAGGGATTTCTTGAGAAATACATGCTTTATCTTACTACCTGTTAGCAAGCAATGATATATTTAAATTTTTATTGGCAATTCATTTTGGGCATTTGGGGAACCATGTTTTGAGATATAACCCAGCATATAATTGCTTTGCAGTTCAGTGTTTGCATTGACAGGAGAGCAAAGTGCTTTATATCTCTAATGAGCACGTACAGAGCCTTTTCATCATCTATCTCAACAAACTCATTTTAAAATTTTAATAAACATTTATTTTCTAGTCAAAAACCTTCAATTTCTTAGACCTTTTCACATTTGTTATTAACTCTCCAAGCTACTTTTTTAACATCAGAGTCATTTTTAGTAATTAAGAGTGAGTTTATTATTTTGCTGATTGCTGGGTACATTGCCACCTGGAAGTGACATCAGAGCCAGATTCAGATGACACTGCTGGAGAGCATCCAGGCCCCCTCTGCTGATTTTCTCCTCCACAGCAGCCTCATTGCAGAAGACCAAAGACCTACACTGTTTCACTTTGCTGTGGTTATACAGTGTCAGGATGCTCTTGTGTACAGATGTTTGCCTGTACCTAAAATAAAATGACACCAGACTCTTACTTTTGTTGTTGCTTTATAGTACTCAGCCTTGAACCCAGGAAGCACTGAGTTATATGTCAGCTACCCTCCCCATTTTCTTTGAGTCAGGGTCTCACTAAATTGCCCAGGCTGGTTTTAAACTTGGAGTCCTCCTACATCAGCATCCTGAGTAGCTGATCTAGGTGTGTGCCACCATAACTGCCTTAACCTATTTAACATTTTGTACATTTGTATGTGTGTAAATGTGTGTGAGTTTGTGGTACTGGGGACTGAACCCAGGCCCTTCACATTGAGTTGTATCCCAAGCCCTTTTTAATTAATTTGTTTGTTTATTGAGACAGGTTCTTGATAAATTGTCTCAGCTTGGGCTTGCACTTGCAGTCACCCTGTCTCAGCCTCCCAGAGCTGGGGTGATAGGCATATACTATAGTGCCTGACATATTTTCAATTTTTTCATCTGCTTTCGTTGGCTCTGTCTGCAACTGGTCAGGTGATGACATCTCTTTGCTTTGCATGGCTTTAGCAGTCCTTTCTGTTCAGACTTAATAATACCCAGTCTCTGAGTTTGGAGAACAGACTGCAAAGACTGTTACAGTTGTACTTCCATGAAAATTCAGCAAATCCGGGGTTCTGTTGTGAGTAAAGCACACTGATATAATCTGGCTAGCTCCAGGCAGATGAACTTGGTGAAAATGTCCTTGTGAAATTTGGCATTGCCCTATAAAGGGTTTCAGTAATTCCTGAAATAGTTACTGTTGCTGTTTCTTTTTCCATAGGAGCTCCCATGTACTGGTCTCAAAAGTGAAGGTAAGATCTGGCAGGGAATGAATAAACTTTTTGGGATGGAGATAATGTTCAAAAGCTTAATAGAGGATTGAGTTATGTATTTCTCAAAATTTAGCAAAGAGACAATTAATTTGTACATTACATTGTATAACTTTTACCTCAAAAGGGAAAAAAATAATGCTCACACCTGTAATCCTAGCACTTGGGAGGCTGAGGCAGAAGGAAACCATCTGGGTTATATAAGAGAGTTCACAGCCAATGCTGCACTACATAGCAAGATCCTGTCTCAAGAAAAAAAGAAGCTCCTGCCTGGCAAGCACAAGGTCCTGAGTTCAATTCCCAGTACAAAACAGAAAAAAAGGAATAAAAACAAAAAGGAAAAAATTATAAACTGAATATTAGTTAATTACTAAAAAATTCAGACTCAGTGTACTCATGTCTATAACTTTAAAATACTTTTTGGGGGGGGGGCGGGGAAAAGGATACAGGGTGTTCAGAGTCTCACTACTAGATTGGACTCATAGTGATCCACCTGGGATTTACAGTCTCTCAAGACCTGGGATTACAGGCATGTGCCACCCAGTCTCAGTTGCCATCTCAGCACACCCCAGGGGTGGAGCTGACACAGCAGGCCTGGGGATCGAACCCCTGGCCTCTGTGCCTGTTTGCAGCCACTTTAATCTGCTGAGCTATTGGCTGGCCCTAAAATACATTTTAAAAACAAATTAATAGGCAAGTAAGAAATTTGCTATATACTAAGGGTTAAGGAGATAGCTTAGCAGTCTTGAGTACCTGCCTGGAAATTTGGTAGATATATAGAAAAAATAAGCGTGTTAATGATAGAATCTTGGTAGGTATTCACTGTAAACATAGGTATTCACTGTAAACATGTTTCATCTTTTTGATATGTTTTAAATTTTCTTGATCCTCTGAAGTCATTGTTTTGTTTGGAGGGGCGACAAGGTCTCACTTTGTAATTCAGGCTCACCTTGAACTCTTTATGTAGTCCAGGCTGGCCTCCAACTGGCAGTGGTCCTCCTGCCTCAGCCTCCTGAGTGCTGGGATGACATGCATATGCCACTACACCTAGTTCCCCTTAAGTCTGTAGGACTACTGGATACCTATAGCTGGGACATAGCAGCAGTTCTTGTGTTTGGGAGAGTTAGGTTTGATTTGACTTGTTTTTTTTACAGTACTGGGATGATCCCAGGACCTTGTGCATGCTAGGCAAGAAGCACTCTGCCACTGAACTACATTGCCAGCCCCCTTGCAGCCTTCTTAACCTTGAGTCCTAACTCTTCCTTAGTCCTTGATCCTGATTTCCAGCTCTCTTCTGCTTCTGTCCCTTTTTTTAAAAAAAATGTATTTTAGTACAGATTCTACAGGGTCTCACTACACAGATCAGACTCGTAGTGATCAGACTCGTAGTGATCGTCATGTTTTCAGCCTCTGAAGCACTGGGATTATAGGGCGTGCCACCACACCCTTTGTCAGGCACTGTCTCAGTGCCAGGGATGAAACCGCAGTCCCTACACCTGCCTAAGCAGGCGCTCTGTTCTTCATAACTATCACATAGTCTTGTTTAAGCCTTCACACTCAGCTACATCCTCAGCCCTTTGTTTCATTTTGAAACAGGATCTTACTAAATTGCCCCAACTGGGCTCCAACTTGAGATTTGTCTGCCTCAGCTCCCCAGAGTGCTGGGATTACAGACATGTGCCACCACAGCTGGTACTTTTTTAAACTTTATGATGAAAAACTATGATTATGTGTGACAGAGTCTTACAGTGAACCCCTACAAACTTAGCCCCTTTCATCAGTTGTCAACATTTTGCCACTTAATCATCTATTCCTTCCTCCCTATTGCTAATTTTTGTCGATGTACTTTGAAAACAAATTTTAAATATAATTTTACCCATACATCCTTAAGGTAAGATTTATATAAAATTAACCTCTTAAAAGGGTGAGGTTCATTGGCATTTAGTACATTCACTATGTTGTTCAGGAGTCACCTCTACCTAGTACCAAAACATTGTCCTTACCCCAAAAAGAAACCCTGTGCTTAATGGTTGCTTTGACATTCCGCCCTCTTCCACGCAACTGCTGGCTTTCTGTCTCTGAATTTATCTGTTCTGAGTATCGCATGTGAATGGAGTCATACATCTTTTTTCTACTTGACTTCCTTCATTTAGCATGTTTTTGCAGTTCACCATATTGTCCTATTATGTCATTCATTTTTATAACAATACTCCAGTGTTCCATATTATCCTTTTCATGTTTTTTGTTTCTTTTTAATTGGCCTTAGCAGATGCTACATTTATGTGTGACAAGCGGTGTAACAAGAAACGGTTATGTGGACGACATAAATGTAATGAGATATGCTGTGTGGTAAGTGGGCTGTCATTAAGCGTCACCAGATTCCATTTCCCCAGAGCCTAAGCCCTGGAAGCCTTTGCCTTCTGGAATGTAGCTCAGATTTAGAAATCAATTAGAAATGTCCCTAAGTAAGTCAGAGAGCTTTCATGGTCCCCACATCTACTCAGCAGAGGTAGGCTAAACTTTTTAATCCTTAGCCAGATCAGGGGGCCAGCCAGTGGTACCCAGTGGCAGCCTAGAGGAGAAGAAAGAGAAGGACAAAGGACGAAGACCACAGGCCCCAGACTAGATGGACACACAGTCCCCTTTAGGAGATTGTGCGTTATCCCAACATAGACCAGCATGGATGTAGCAACTTGAGCTTCAGGTTTCATAATACTTTGAGCCAGATCAGTAGCCAAAATGAATGTGGTAGGATTTTGCTGTTTTCAGTCTTAAAGCTTTGTGCTTGCACTGAGCCATGCCGCAGCCCTTTTTCACATTGTGTTTCGAGAGAATTGATGAGTTTTCCAGGCTGGCTTAGAACTTGCAATCCTGCTATCTCAGCCTCCAGAGTAGCTAAGATGACGACAGTGGGCCACCACACCCAACCAAGTATTACGTTTTTAAAAGAACAGGTTTCATTTATTTAAAACATTTGATTTTGTAGAACTAATTAAAGGAAACACAACCTATCAGTACTGTGTTATCTTTTATTTAAATGTATGTTTAAAGAGATATATAATGCAGAGTCTGGCAAAACAACACGTACATGGATGTATACACATGTTTTCTTCAGGAAAAGAAAAACTTGTAAAAAATATTCTAATACTAAATTTATTGACATCATGAAATTAATAAGTTATGGGCTGTACAATTACAGAAGATGCTCAAAGTAGTGGCCATTAGCTTACAGACATTTATTAGTATGGTGCACTGCTGCCTGGGTAACCTTGGTCATTGAGATGCTGCACTTGCATTTTCAGTTTCTTCTCTAAGGGCTGGGCAATGTAGTGGGTTTTTTATAACATGCAGCATCTCCTCTAGGGTTCCCCATATGGGTAACACCATCTTTTTTTTTGTTCTGAAGTATATATACATTTTCTTGGTAGACTCCATAATTAGGTAGGTAGGTAGGTAGGTAGGTAGGTAAGATAGATAGACAAACAGACAGACAACATGTATGCATGCATATATACATACGTAAATATACACATGTCTACAAACAAGGTAATAAATACAATGCCAATAATAAGGTTACACATATATATGTATGTTGTAGATAAAATACAAAATTGTTCCAAAAATTTTTATGTCAGTAAGATGAAAACTGATAAAATGTGCTTTCTGCCCAGATTGACAAGCCATTGTTCAAAGACCTAAAAATTTCTGATGATCAAAAATTTCAGAGATATACGAAAGCAGGAACTAGTATAGTGAGTCCCATATGATATATATAACATCTGGCTTCATTAGCAGCCAACTCATGATTAGTGTCCCATGTCACCACCTACTCCCCCTTCCCTGGTTATTTTAAAACTATTTTCAGGCATCATTTTATTTATAAATGTGTAGACTTTTGTCTTTATTCTTGGTTTTATTTATGGAAAATATAAAATGGAGACCATTTTGTCAACAAGTGAAGATTTCTCCTTTCAGGATAAGGAGCACAAGTGTCCTTTGATTTGTGGGAGGAAACTCCGTTGTGGCCTTCATAGGTGTGAAGAACCTTGTCATCGAGGGAACTGCCAGACATGCTGGCAAGCCAGTGAGTGTCTTCACTGTATATTTTAGTATAGTGTTTTCTAGAAATTGAGGTATTTATTTCTTTCAAATGTTTATTCTTATTAGTGTTTGCAATATATAATGACGATATCCATCATGGGGAATTGGTCCATGTACATAACACATCTTAAGAAATTCAGATAGATTTGAGAGATTGGTTTGTTTAAGTTGATGTGGATTATTCTACTGAGTCTTAGTGTTTCAGGTATGCTGAGATGTTTCTAAGGTATTCTTAGTACTATGCTATAATCTCTGAATCTACACAGTTTAAAGTGTAAGCAGTGACCTGACATGGCGTCATCTTTACTGCCATTGAACTTTTTAGTCTTGCGACTCATTTACATTCTTAAAAATTATTATTTTGTGTGTGTGTGTGTGTGTGTGTGTGTGTGTGTGTGTGTGTAACTGGGGATTGAACTCAGGCCCTTGTGCTTGCCAGAGAAGCACTTATTCTATTGAGCCATCTCCCCAGCCTCCTTAAAAATTATTGAGAGCCAGGCATGGTGGCACATGTCCGTAATTCCAGCGCTTGGGAGGCTGAGGCATGAGGATTGCCATGGGTTCAAGGCCAGCTTGGGCTGTATAGTGAGTTCAGAGCTAGCCTGAACTATATAGTGAGACTTATCTCAGAAAAAAAGAAACAAACAAAAAAAAACTTAAGGAACCTAAAGAGTTCTTTGTGTATGTTTATCTATTTCTACCATATGAAGTTAAAACTGAGAAAAGTAAAAAAATAATATATATTATTTCCTGTTGAAATAATAGTAACATACCTATTAACATAGTGCTTTATCATTTAGGTACTGGGAATTGAACCCAGGGCCTTTGCACTGAGATATATCTACAGCCCATTGTTTTTCTATTTTTATTTTCAAGTGGAATCTGTAATTTGCCTATGTTGAACTCAAACATGTGATCCTCCTGCTTTAGTTTACCAGAGTGTAAGGATTACAAGCACGTACCCCCATGCCTAGCTAAATGACATCTCAGAAATTAAAATATTAAATACCTGGTTTAATAGAAGATAGCTGGATTTTTATATCTGCTTCTGCATTTAATCTCTTATGGTATAATTGAGGCATATAAAAAAGTCAGCCTCCCACAGATAGCTAGTTCTAAAAGGGAGAACTATTTATTAATTTTTTTTTTATATAGATCCAGGTATGGTGGCATACACCCTTATTCCCAGCACTTGCAACACTGAGGCAAGAGGAATGCTGCAAGTTCGAGGCCAGCCTGCACTCCATAATGAGATCAAGGCCAGCCTGAACTATGCAATAAGACCCTGTCTCAAAAACAAAGCAAAAAAAAAAAAAAAGAAAGAAAATCTTTGTCAAATAACTGTGGTTATTCTTTGCTTTTGTACCAGAATTCAACCTTAGTTCATAATGGGAATGAGTTAGCATTTGCTCTCTGTTATGTTAAAATACATTGTTCTCTCTTGTATTTTTTTTTTTAATTTTTATTTATTTGTGTGTGTGTGTGGCCAGCTCAGCCCACCAGGGGCCAGGGCTGGCTGGCATGTGGTGCTGGGGGATTGAACCGTGGTCCCTGTGCTTCACTAAGCTTGTTCTAAGTAGGTGCTTTAGACCACTGAGCCATCTCACCAGCCCTCTCTTGTATTTTAAATAGCTGTTTTACCTGTGCGTGATTTTAAAGTAGCATACATTGATTGTTGGAAAATAAATCTATAGCTGGGCATGGTGGCACATGCCTGTAATCACAGCATTCTGAGAGCAGTTTAGTAACTCAGTGAGACTCTGTCTCAAAATAAAACATAAAAGGGTCTTTGTAACTCAGTGCAAAAGCTCTGTATTCAATTTCTAGTACCACAAAAAAGAAAAACAAAATGACCCCTTGGTTATGCAGATCTTTGAAATATTGGCAGTTTTGTATTATAACACTAAAAATTTACAGTCCTTCATATAACTTCCAATGTTATCAGAAATACCTTGTCAGTCTCAGAGTAATGTGGACACTGTATCTCTCTGCCTTTTTCACCAGCTCAGTTTTTAATCAAATAAAAGTTTAATAAAATGTGGAGCCTGGGAGTTAGCTCAGACGCAAGGTTCTGAGTTCAATCCCCAGTACCGCACAAAAAAAAGTTTAATAAAGTATGTCTATTTTTTAAAAAGTAGCCCATCCTACCCCTATTCTCTAAAAGTATACACAACTATGCAGTGCATATCCCAAGCTCAAAAGATTTTTATTTCACCACCTCTTCCATCAGGTTTTGATGAATTAACTTGTCACTGTGGCGCCTCTGTGATCTACCCTCCAGTTCCCTGTGGCACTAGGCCCCCTGAGTGTAGTCAGACCTGTGCCAGAGTCCATGAGTGCGACCATCCAGGTGAGTCTCGTGTCACTGCACACCACCCAGCTTGTACACATGGTGTCACTGAGATTGTTGTCCTGTCTCCGCCTCATTCCTCCGAGGTAGAGCTGGGATGGCCCATGCTCCCTATGCTTCCATGTAGGTGGTCTGGGCACCAGTGGCTCTCACAGTGCATTCCAGTGTTTTCCTCTTTGGATGTCAAACATGCCCAAAAGCTTGGAAAAAGCACCAGCTGATCTCCTTCAGAGACTGTTCTTTCTTCAGGGGCTTCTCCTTTGCGTGCATATTTCAAAGTTGAGCAATATTTGGTTGTTGTTACAGAAGCAATATGTGTTTGCTAAATAACAATAAAGAATAAAAATAAGGGCCCCGGGAGAGATGACTCAATAGAATAAGTGCTTCCCTGGCAAGCACAAGGGCCTGAGTTCAATCCCCGGTTCTGCCAAAAAATAAAAAATAAAATAAAAATAGAGATAAAGTCAGGAGATTTTTTTTTTTTTTTCAGAACCAGGGATTGAACTCAGGCCCTTGCACTTGCCAGGGAAGCGAAAAGTCAGGAGATTTTTAACATTAAATCGTATTACATCATCGTGTATATATGTATTAAGAGAGTATCTGGCTGTGTAATTCAGGATGGCCTTGAACTCACCGTGATGCTCCTGTCTTGGGCTGGAGTGCTGGAATTAGAGATGTGCACCACCACACCTGGCTATATGTCATCTTCTAAGAATTACATTTGTCAGGGTCTTCTTCCATGTGCAAGTAGATATATTCACTTCTTTTTTTTCCTAGAATAAAAATGAGATCCCACTGAAAATAACCGTTTTGGGCAGGGCTAGTGGCAGGGAGAAACCGTTGTCTATTCTTGGCAGGCATGTACACTGGCACAGTCACTGCGGAAATCTGTGAAAGTTCCTCAAAAAGAAAAACAACTGGAATGGGCAGTCCCATTTGACCCAGCTATTCCCCCTTTGGGTATCTTCCGAGAAGAATTAAAAACATTATACCACAGGGATATATGTACACCCATGTTCATAGTAGCACAGTTTGTCACGGCTAAATCTGAGAAACAACCCAGATGGCCATCAGCTGAGGAATGGATAAAAAAGATGTGCTCTTTGTATACAGCAGCATATTGCCTAGCCATAAAGAAGGATGAGCTAGAGACTTACATAGGTACATGGATGCAACTTGAGACCATACTCATAAGTGAAATAAACCAGGTGCACAGGTACAAACATCTTCTTGTTTCCCTAGTGTGAGAAACCGAAAGAAAGAATGATCCAAATTGTACGATAGATATTGTGAACTGGGAAACTGTTCAAAAGGAAAGAGAAACTGGGATGGGGGAAATGGAGAACAGGCAAAAGCAAAAAATATTTTATGTATTTTATAAAATATTATTTTTAAATAATATATAAATACATATATACCCAGAAGATAAGATAGTTATACTAATTTCTCTTAGTTCGTTGAAAAGTTTGTGCTAATATTATTTGGACAATTAAGTGCCTATATGTACTCTGAGTAATTTAAAGATAACAATACACAATGTATTAACCATTGTTACCCTCCCCTTGTCGTTTTGAATTTTTTTTCTCTTAAAAAAAAAAAAATGGAAGCTAGGGAGATAGCTCAGGGGCATAAGAGCCTACTTGGCAATCGTAAGGTCCCAAATTCAATCCCCGGCAGTTCGTGTCCTTCCCCAGATCTCTGGGCATGCCAGTCTCAGCCCTGGAACCCTGGGCATGCCATGCTGTCCTGGAACCAGCACTCGGGAGTTTGAGATAGGAAGATCGCTGCAAGTTTGGGACCAGCCTAGGGGCTACAGAAGTGAACACAAGGCCAGCCAGAACTGCATGGCAAGACCCTATCTCAAACATAAATTTAATTTAAAAATAGGCTGAGAAAAAAAATAAATAAATAAAAATAAAAACGGGCTGAGAATGTAGCTCAGTGGAACACTACCTGCCTGCCAAGCATAAGGTCCTGAGTTCAATTCTCTGTACCAAAAATAAACAAAATGAAATAAAAATAAAATCAATATTTTAAAAAACTTGACTAAATTTTTTCTCAATTGTTATCTTTTTAATTTCTCTCTATCAATATTATAGGTTTTTGTTTTGTGAGGTTTTGTTTTTTGGGGAGGTTTTGTTTGTTTTTGCTTTTCAGGCAAGATCTTAATTGTAGCGCAGGCTAGCCTTGAGCACTGTAGCTCAGGCTGGCCTCTAAATCACAATATCTTCCTGCCTCAGCCTCCAAAGTGGTAGGATTACAGGCCTAAGCCACGAAACCCAGTGCCTGTGACCAATTATGAAAAGTATTCCCCAGCTCTGGGGTTTTATGTTATATGCCATCTATAACATACACTTCTTTTTTTTTTTTTTTTTTGCGGAACCGGGGGCTGAACTCAGGCCCTTGTGCTTGCCAGGCAAGTGCTTATTCTACTGAGCCAGATCCCCAGCCCCAAGTTTTTTTTTTTTTTGGCGGAACCGGGGGCTGAACTCAGGCCCTGATGCTTGCCAGGGAAGCACTTATTCTATTGAGCTATCTCTCCGGCCCCAACATGCACTTCTTATGTGACTTCATTTAGAAGTTATTCCTAAAGTCGCCTTTCTCTTTCTGCAGTGTATCATTCTTGTCATAGTGAGGAGAAATGTCCCCCTTGTACTTTTCTGACTCAGAAGTGGTGCATGGGCAAGCATGAGGTAAGTTTTCTCTCTTAGGCATTCATTAGTCCAGCCCAAGATTTCTGATTTAATTATCCCAGAGTTGTTGTCTTACTGATTCTGAAAGTAAACATACTCCAACAAGCACAAGTTTTCTGTTGCCATTTTCTTTTTCTTGAAACAGTCTCATTGTATAGCGTAGGCTGACCTCAATCAAACCAGTGATTCTAAGTGCTTTTCTTTGTTTTTTAAGGTAAAATTTGCATACAATGAAATTTACCTTTTTGAATCTGTAGCATTTGTGTCATCACATTATACCCATTACCAAAAAAAAAAAAAAAAAAACAGAGCCAGGCATGGCAGTGCACAGCTTTATTCCCAGCACCCTGGGAGACTGAGGCAGGAAAATTGCAAGTCCAAGCCCAGCCTGGGCAACCTAGCAAGACCCAGTCTCGGGGCTGGAGAGATGGCTTAGTAGAATAAGTGCTTGCCTGGCAAGTACAAGGGCCTGTGTTCAATCCCCAGTTCTGAAAGAAAAAAAAAAAAAAAAAGAAAGAAAGTTAAAAAAAAGACCTAGTCTCAAAAAACATTAAGTAAAAAAGGGCTAGAAATATGACTGAGCATAAAGGCCCTGGGCTCAAGCCCATATCAGGGGGAGGAAAAACAGTTCACACCTAAGCATTCCTTCAGTGGCTGGTGTCACTCTCCCTTCCCACTCTAGGCCTTGACAACCAGTGACTTATTGCCTGTTCCAGTTCTATACTGCTACCCAGAATGTCACAGAAATGAAATTATGCAGTGGCTAGCATTTTCTGTCCTTTATCAATTTTTACTTTTTTAAAAAATTTATTTATTTGTGTGTGTGTGTGTGTGTGTGTGTGTGTGTGTGTGTGTGTGACCAGCTCAGCTTACCAGGCGGCAGGGCTGGCTGACATGTGGTGCTGGGGGATTGAATTGCGGTCCCTGTGCTTTGCTAAACTTGTTCTAAGTAGGTGCTTTAGACCACTGAGCCATCTCACCAGCCCCCTGTTTTATCAATTTTTAAATCTGGTCACAACAAAATGAGATTTGACCCATTTAACCTTGAAAACACATCTAGGTTACCTGGTATGGAGAGAGGTACCTGACCTAGGAAGAGCTATTTTTGTGAGGATATTCAGGAATAGAAGGCTCTCTACCAACTGCCATCTTCTCTCTAGGCCTGTGCTCACCCACATGCCAGGCTCCAGGCTCCCTATACCTCCTATTGCCAATACCCTGAAAGACTTTCACCCTTACTCTTTTTTAGACAGGGTCTCACTGTGCAGTTCAAGTGGGCCTTGAACTCCCAGACTGACCTTAAACTTGCCATGTGAGCCTCTCATCCTGCACTACCACACCTGGCTTCACCTTCATTCTTAACCTCAAACCTATGTTTGGCATTGTCTTCTCTAGACTTTAAACACTTAGTTTTTCATTTTATTTTTTTTTTATTTTTTATTTTTTTAAATTTTATTTATTTAT